AGCACTTTGGGAGGATGAGGCGGGTGGATCACGAGGTCAAGAGATCGAGACCATCCTGGTCAACATGGTGAAACCCCATCTCTACAAAAAATACAAAAAATTAGCTGGGCATGGTGGTGCGTGTCTGTAGTCCCAGCTACTCAGGAGGCTGAGGGAGGAGAATTGCCTGAACCCAGGAGGCGGAGGTTGCAGTGAGCTGAGATTGCACCATTGCACTCCAGCCTGGGTAACAAGAGTGAAACTCCGTCTCAAAAAAAAAAAAAAAAGATTGTGGGTGGTAAATTTCAGGCATGTGACTAGCCCTAGTTGGAACACAGTTGGAGATAACCATCTCCTACGAGCCTCAGCTATACAATCCATCTGCTTTTGAACAGAATCACTCTGTTGCTCAGATGGAGGATGTAAGACAAATGGGTTGACACGAAGAATGGAGCCCTCTCAACTGTGACTTCCCTTGGAGAAATACATGGAGAGTTGGAACAGAAGGACCCTCACCCAAACCTCTGAGTCATCCTGGATCCTCCATTATCCACAGACAGTCCCTCAGTAGCTGCTGGTGGCTCCACTTCCAAATATATCCTGAACCCAGCCAGGTGTGATGGCTCATACCTGTAATCCCAGTATTTTGAGTGGGAGGCTGAGGCAAAAGGACTGCTTTAGGCCAGGAGTTCGAGACCAGCGTGAATAACGTGGCAAAAACCCATCTCTACTAAAAATACAAAAATTAGCCTGGCGTGGTGCTGCGCACCTGTAATCCCAGCTACCTCATGAAGCTGAGGCACTAGAATCGCTGGAATCGCTGGAGGTTGCAGTGAGCCAAGATTGTGAGACTCTATCTCAAAACAACAACAACAACAACAACAAAACTGCTTCCCAAATATATCCTGAAACCCTTTTACTTCCTTCATTTCTGTAGCCACCACTCTTGCCCCAAACCTCAGGCTGACAATTGTAATAATGGGATGCCATGCCTCTGCTCTTGTCCCATACCAAGTCACCTCCATCCAACAGCCAGAGTGACCTTTAAAAATGTATAGCAGAACCAGGCACAGTGGCTCATGCCTGTAATCCCAGCACTTTGGGAGGCTGAGGTGGGCAGATCACAAGATCAGGAGATTGGGACCATCCTAACCAACACAGTGAAATCTCATCTCTTAAAAAAATAAAAATAATAAAAGGCCAGTGCAGTGGCTCACGTCTATAATCCCAGCACTTTGGGAGGCTGAGGAGGGTGGATCACGAGGTCAAGAGATCGAGACAATCCTGGTCAACAAGGTGAAACCCCATCTCTACTAAAAATGCAAAAATTAGCTGGGCATGGTGTCGTGCGCCTGTAGTCCCAGCTACTCGGGAGGCTGAGGCAGGAGAATTGCTTGAATCCAGGAGGCAGAGGTTGCAGTGAACCAAGATCGCGCCACTGCACTCCAGCCTGGGTAACAAGAGTGAAACTCCGTGTCAAAAAAAAAAAAATTTTTTTTAAATAAAAATGAAAATAATAAAAATAAATAAAAAATTTAAAAAATCTAAAGCACCCCCTCTACAAGTCCTGTGTGACCCCGACCCTGCTGCCTCACCTGCACCACCCCTTCCCTGTTCACCAACACCAGGAGCACTGTCCTTGTTCCTGCGCCTCTGCAGTTGCCGTTCCTTCTGCCGGGGCAGCTCCTTCCCTGACCATCCCCTCACATCGCTGATTCCTTTTCTGCAGGTCTCAGCTCAAAGCTCACCTCCTTGGAGGGCTTTTTTCTTAGCCTACTTGCCCCTGTCACCCTGTTTTGTTATTGTTTTATTTTCTTGATGACACTTGTTACTGGCTGAGATTATATTGTGGATATACAAAGAGTTCTCCTCAACATTATCACTTTTACATTTCATTATTATTATTATTTTGAGATGGAGTCTGGCTCTGTCCCCCAGGCTGGAGTGCAGTGGCACAATCTCGGCTCACTGCAACCTCCACTTCCTGGTTCAAGTGATTCTCCTGCCTCAACCTCCCAAGTTGCTAAGAGTACAGGTGCCTGCCACCAAGCCTGGCTAAATTTTTTTTTTTTTTTTGCATTTTTAGGAGAGATGGGGTTTCACCATGTTGGCCAGGCTGGTCTTGAAATCCTGAATTTAACTAATCTGCCTGCCTCAGCCTACCAGCGTGCTAGGATTATAGGTATGCGCCACTATGTCCAGCCATTTTATTAATTTTGATTACACCAGGAATACATAGGTATATTTTTCATAGATCCCAGCAGGTAAAGCAAAATTGTCATCTTGATTCTTCTTCTGCCATCCTTGCTCCTTCACTGGAATTTGAAGTAAATTAAATCATAGTTTCTACTTTGATTTCTACACCAGCTTCCCTTTGGGAGAAAGCCAGAGGATAGGAGGTCAGAGGCAAGGCCCAGAGGAGGCTATGGATTTGGGCATGTGACTTAATTTCTCTGAATATCAGTTTGCTCATTTATAAAAAAGGGAAAAGAGGGCCAGACATAGCCATTACAGGCTTATGCCTGTAATCCAGCACTTTGGGAGGCCGAAGTGGGAGGGTCGCCTGAGACCAGGAGTTTGATACCAGCCTGGGCCACATAGTGAGACCCCATGTCTACGAAAACTAATTTAAAAACTAGCTTGGTGTAGCGGGGCACATCTGTAATTCCAGCTACTTGGAAGACCAAGGCTGGAGGATAGCTTAAGGTGAGGAGTTGGAGCCTACAGTGGCATGATCATAGCTCATTTCAGCCTAAGTGACAGTGAGACCGCAACAGGGGGGGAATAAAAAGAAAGAAAAAGGGCAAAGAGCACTTATGTCATAGACTTGTATCAAGTAGCAGCACAGCCCCACCTCATGGAGTTTACAGGCCAGTGGGGATGTCCAGTATTTGGAATCCTGCATGTTGACTCCACAGTCTACCAGTCTGTTCAGTGTCCCTAAATGTCAGAGCCCTGCTTCGCAAGCAGTGAGAAGGGAGGGGTTACCTGAAACCACCTGATGCATCTTTCTGAACTGTTTCTTTTGCTCGGAAGTAATTAAAAACATCATTTTTACAGTAAAACAAATACAAATATTTAGTGGAATGAAGAATTTGCATTGAGTTTTAAAATTTAGGGCCAGGCACGTTGGCTCATGCCTGTAATCCCAGCACTTTGCACGGCCAAGGTGGGCGGATCACCTGAAGTCAGGAGTTCAAGACCAGCCTAGCCAAAATGGTAAAACCCTGTCTCAACAAAAATACAAAAATTAGCTGGGCATGATGAAGGGTGTCTGCCTCCCCAGTAGGGGAGGCTGAGGCAAGAGAATCATTTGAACCCCAGAGGTGGAGGTTGCAGTGAGCCGAGATCATGCCATTGCACTCCAGCCTGGGTGGCAGAGCGAGACTCCGTCTCAAAAATAAAATAAAATAAAATAAAAATAAATAAATTTAGATGTTTTGGGCATCAGCATGGGGAGATCCATTGGAGATCATCTGGTTTGGTCAAACCTATTTTATCAGTGGGGAAACTGATGTGAAGCCTGGCGGGACCTGGCCTCGCTATCCTGGTTAGGGACTTCCTGTCATCAAGGAAGAGTCTGGTCTGCTCCTTTCCAGTTCTCTGACCCCTGCAGAAACAACAGGTGGCTTCCTCTTCTTTCCCTGTCGGGGTGACGGTGAAGCCCAGAGGCCAAGACTGGGAGGAGGGTTCATCCATATTCTCTAGCTCTTAACACTGCCCAGAGGTGGGCCACCCTGCCTACCCATCAGCCTCCCCCTGCCCCTCTGCCAAATCTGGACTTAATTATAGTAATTATGCTGCATATAAACAGTATAGGTAACTGCTTCTGGACATAATTACAGGAGATGTTTGCATACCGACAACAGCATCAGAGTAAATGATAGCTTCCTTTTCCCTTAATACTCAGATATCAGGGACCTATTAGGGCTAATTAGCCAAATCTCAGTAGTGAGGGTGTAGGAAAAACCTTACAATTTCCCACTACCTGCAAAGCAGGAAGGCACCTCAGACAAAGCAGGGTCCCAGCCAAGATTTCACAGGACATCAAGAAGCCTGCAGAGGAGTGAGCTAACATCTGCTGGGCACCTACTGTATGCAGGTACTCAGGGGAGGTCAGCAAACACAAGCGAGTTCTTTCAACCTATGAACAATTCTGCAGGCTGATATTAGTGTATCCTCACTTTACAGGTCTGGACATGGGTTCTCAGAAGCTTGGTGTACAGGGTCACCCGCAGCAGGCCACGGCGCTGGGCATGGACGCTTTCCACCGTGCTACCCAGCGGGAGCAGCAGGCCAGCTCTGCTTTCTTCCTTTCTCGCCTCTTCTCACTTCTCGAAGCTTCCTCTTTCCGGGTGGCCTCCTGCAGCCCCTGCTAACCTCTGGTCTCTGCTCAATTCCCCAGCGTCAAGGCCGTCTACTGCCCCCTCCACCCCTTCTTCCTGTCCCCTAGGGTGGTTCGGTGTTACCTCTCCAGATGAAGGGGGTGGGGTTGGGTGAGGTGGGATGGGATAGGGAAGGGTGGAGCACAGGGCAAAGGCCTTGCCAGACATCCTGGGGTCTTCTGCTAAGCTAGGGGAGGCAGGGAGCTCGGCCTCGGGGTCGCCAAACCCTCGGGTTCCAATCACCCGCACACACAAAGGCTGCCCCGGCATGCGCGGGAGAGCGCGCTCGCACCCACGGCCGTGCGCACACACGCACAATTGCACAAAGACGTGCACACTCCTCCATCCACACCAATACACTCCCTAACAGGGCTCGCACACAGCCGTGAGCCATCACGTACACCAAACCACCACCACACACACACACACACACACGCACACACACACACAGGCTCACACACACACGCGCGCGCGCGCACACACACACACACAGGCTCACACACGGACGCACACCCGGGGGGACACCCCCAAACGCGAACCTTGGGGCCCTGACGCGTCCAGCCGCACTGCCCTGGCTCGCTGGGCGGTGCGCGCACACGCAGACTCGCACACACAGACACACACGCACACACCCCGCGTGGTTCCACGCCCCTGGCAGCGGCCCGGGCTCTGCGCGGCTCCGCGCGGCAGGCGGCGGGCGGGGACCGGGGGCGGGAACGGCGGCAGCGGCGGCGGCCGGGAGAACGGAGGAGGCGGAGCAGGGAGCCGGGAGAGGGCTGGCCCGCGCTCCTCCTGCTGGCCGGGGATTTTCCAGCCTGGGCGCTGACGCCACGGACCTCTCTGCGACCGTCGCGGACCATGGGCGACAAAGGGACACGGTGAGTGCAGGGTGGCCGCCGGGCGCGGGGCGCGTGGGGGCGACCTCGGCGAGGGCATGGGCGGGGGCTCCGATTGCGTCCTGGTTCTACGTTCAGGGCCACCCTGGGATCACGTACCGGTTCTCCTCCACCCGAGGTCTCCTGTGTGGTCTCCGGCAGGGCCGTGGGCGGTGGAGACTAAAGGGCAAGGGCTGGGCCGCCCCATGTGGGCCGCGGCTCCTGGCCCGGACACACTCGCAGCTCGCTGACACCCAGCACTGGCCAGCAGGCGCAGAGACGCACGGAGGCAGACTGACACACAATACACGCACGGACCCACTAACCCGTGGCACATGCATGCTGGTGCACACACTGGCAGCCGCTGGCACACGCTCATCACGCAGTGGCACACCGTCACACACGCCTCAGTCAACACTTTCTTGCTGACAGCCTTGTTGGCATGCACAGGTCACACTCCAACACACACCAGTTCTAACACACCCTAGTGCTGGTATACACGTGTGGGCATACACTGATATGCACACTGTCACCTGCACTCGCTGTAGCAAACACCCTTGCTGGCACACATATCACTCTCACTGGCACACACACTTGTGCTGCTGGCAGGTCTCACCACAGCGGAGCGCAAAGCCACACCAACACTGACCCCCACAGACACAATCAGACTGATGCCTGCAAAGACTGGCACCCTACAGGCACAAGCTGCCAGCTCCGAGGCCCGCTGACACACATGCTCCAGGCCCCACATGGCCAGAAGTGGAAATACACACATCACACAGGGTAGAGCACTCCCCACCACCCCCAGCCTTGGGAAAACAGATCCCATCCCATCCAGATCCCATCCATACCCTCTGCTCCCTTTTCTCTGACCTCCTGAGGAGTGGCTGGCCAGGAGCTCTTTTGAACCTAGGGCTGGGAGAGCCCCTCTGTTCTCCTGAAACCTGGCCTGAAAGACTCAGAAAGAGGCAGTCTATGCCTCTGAAAGGGGAAACTGGGATAAAAGGGGAAGAGGCTAGAGCAGGGCAGCCCCTGGGGGCAGCCCTTCAGATAGGACCAGCACTCCTCAGGGGCTCAGCATTGTCACCCAGTTTTCCCCGTTGCCCTCCCTATCCACTAAGTCTGCACATAGCCTCTCCCTGGGGTCCCCGTCTTACCCCCTTTCCATCCCTCTTTCTCATTGTTTTCTGTCTTCCTCCCCTCCTATCCTTGTGTCCACCTTCTCCCTCCTCCCTTCCCTCCCCTCTCCTTGTTTCCATTTATTTATTGAGCTCTTGCTGTATACTAGGCATATTGTGGGGGATCAAAGATGTGCAAGGCCCCTTCCTCCCCTGAAGGAACTAACAAACTAGAGAGACCACCCCAGAGGGCACCACCTTTCAGGGCCACTGCCATCTAAGGCTCTCTCTCAACAGCATGAGAAAGGGCTTCCAGAGATTATTTCCATTTTCTAGAGGAAGAAACTAAGTCTCCGAAGCAACTCAAGCTCTTAATGTTTAGAAACTACTTTCCAACCATCCTCCTGACAGCTCTTCCAGGAGGTTAATTTTCCTTTTCCTGTTTTCTAGCAGAGGAACCAGAGGGTTAGAGTTGTCATGTGATTTGCTTAAGGTCAAGATGGGTTAGAGGCAGGGCAGAGGCTGGAGTCCACTTGGTCATGTCTCTGTGGATGGCCCTAGGGCACTGCCAGGCCCCTCATGTGCCAGGGAGGGGTGCTCTGCTCTGTGCTGGAGGCCCAGGCCTTTGAGGGAGACTGCAGAAGATCATGGTGTCTCTGAATGCACCTCGATGGCTAGTCCCCATTGCAGCTGGCTGGCCAGCACTGTTACCTAGGCCTCTGTCCGCAGGAGGAAGATGTGTGACTCCCTCCCCAGCCGCATCCATCTGCCCCGAAATTAAGACTCTCTTGACCCATGAGGTCGGGCTTTTCTTCCTGCAGGGCATGGCAGGGAGTCTGAGCCATTCTCCCCTCCCGTGTCCTTCCTGGGCTGCCTTGTGATCAGGGTGACTCAGCCTCTCTTGGGTCTCTCTGTATCTCCCTGTGACTTGGGGGGATAAGTGTCATTGCTGTCCTGCTGACATGGATTGTCAGAAAGATGAGGACACCATGGGCTTCCAGGCACCTGCTGGAGACCCTGTCTCCGAGGCCAGGGTATTTTCCATGACTCCCCCTGCCCTGTCTTGAACCCACTGGTGGACCTTTGGGACATTGGGCAATTGCCTTTGCCTTTCCAGACCTTAGTTTCCCATTTGTAAGTTGAAGCTATATCAATACTTCCATTTTAGGGCTCCCCTTGTATACTTACTGACTTTGCTGGGCAGGGATAGAGGCACTGCCTGAAGCCTAGAGCCAAGGCCTGGCTAAACCCACCTGATGGTGGCCCTGACCTCCCCCTCAGACTCTCCTGCAGTCCTATGAGGACTTTCTTTCCCTTTTCAGACAGTTTGCCAAGTAATTTGGAAGAGAAGGGCAAAATCAGGAATGGGCTGTACCCTGTTTTTTTTTTTGTAAGCCATGAGATTCTACTTTATCTATGACTAAGAAAAGGAATCTGCAGATATCTAAAACTGAACATCAGGAACTATCGAATCCATCCCTCCATCTGGAATTGCACCCCCATATGAAAGTGATAATGAAAATTTTCATTTAGTTATTTATTTTTTTTAAAGACAAGGTTTCACCATGTTAGTCAGGCTGGTCTTGAACTCCTGACCTCAGGTGATCCACCCACCTTGGCCTCCAGAGTGCTTGGATTACAGGCATGAGCCACCACGCCCCGCCAATAATGAAAATTAATCAGAAACTGTCACTGCCTTCTAGGAACTCCCAGGGCCAAGAGGAAATAGGTGTTAAATACCTGGGCAGGGCTGCAAATGGTAGCTCACTCCCGTAATCCCAGCACTTTGGGAGGCTGAGGTGGGCAGATTGCTTGAGCTCAGGAATTCAAGACCAGCCTGGGCAACATGGTGAAATCTTGTCTCTGCAAAACATACAAAAATCAGCTGATGATGATGGCGCACACCTGTAGTCCTAGCTACTCAGGAGGCTGAAGTGGGAAGATCACTTGAGCCCTGGAGGTCAAGGCTGCAGTGAGCCATGATCACTGCACCCTGGTGCAGCCTGAGAGAGTGAAAAAATAAAAACAAAATATCTGGACAGGGTTAGTTACAGGGTAGGAGTATGATGGTTGCTGTAAGGTGCTCTGGGAACAATCTTGTATTCATTCAACAAATGTTGAGTACCTTCTGAGTGCCCAGGGCCTGGGGATTCAGAGAGGAGAGTCTACACTGTCCTCCAGGGATTTAGAGCAGAGCAGGTGGTTAGAAAGCAGGATGACATGCGTTGTGGGAGGCTAAAGGAGAAGTCCCCAACCCAGGCCCAGGCAGGGAGCATGGCCAAGGAAGCCTTCCTGGAAAGGAGGTTGTGTTAGAACTACTGAGCTTCATCCGAAAGGATGAGGAGGCCAAGGGGGTGGGATTGGGAATGACATTCCTGGCCGAGGTTGCACAATCTGCAATGGCTCGGAGGCAGGAAGCAAGGTGTGCAGCCCAGGGCCTGGATGGGGATGACAGTGAGCCTTAAGAGGTAAACACAGGCCGGTCACCAGCAGCCTGGGAATGTCAGGCTAAGGAGATAGCATTTTCTCCTGAAGTAGATGGTGATTCAGAGAAGAGTATGAGGCAGCAGAGGGATGCAAGCAGATGCTTTCATTTCAAAGAGATGTCTTTGGCAGCGCCAAGGGGGATGGATGGGAAGAGCAGGCCTGGAAGCAGGGAGACCAGTGAGGAGGCTGGGGAGAAACCTGAGAACTGAGACTGCGAGCTCTGAACTTAGGCTGCAGAGAGGATAGAGCTGAGAAATATGAATATGAATAAGGAGGTGGAGTCCATCAATCTTGCTGGTCGATTGGCCCTTTGCCAGGTGTCTGGTGTGTGTTAGAATTACACACATAAGCCGGGCACGGTGGCTCAAGCCTGTAATCCCAGCACTTTGGGAGGCCGAGGCAGGTGGATCAAGAGGTCAAGAGATCGAGACCATCCTGGTCAACATGGTGAAACCTCATCTCTACTAAAAATCCAAAAAATAAAATTAGCTGGGCATGGTGGCGCGTGCCTGTAATCCCGGCTACTCAGGAGGCTGAGGCAGGAGAATTGCCTGAACCAGGAGGTGGAGGTTGAGGTGAGCCGAGATCGCGCCATTGCACTCCAGCCTGGGTAACAAGAGCGAAACTCCGTCTCAAAAAAAAAATTACACACATAATCTCAATGAATTCAACTGTAATCTGGTAATGTGGGGATTGTCGTTCCCATTTTGTAGATGAGGAAACAGACTAGGAGAGAGTATTTGTCCACTGCCATTCAGCCAGCAGAGGCTTAAGAACTCAGGCCCACAAAGCCCTCTCTGCTACTTGACACTTTGCCCAAGTGAGGGGGCCTTGTCTGGCTCACAGTTGGCCTCCCTGGCAGCTCCCAGCCTCAGGTTGTGCTTTGCTGTTCCCACTAACTCAACAGACAACATGAAGGATCAGATTTAGACAACAAGAGGGACTTCCTGAGAGGCAATGGAAGGGAGTGGAATTTCCTTTCCTGCATATGTTTATGAATTCTTCTTTTTTCAGAGAAAGGAGGGTGATGGGGACATGTAACCACCAGCTCTCTGTGAACTTTGGCTGTCATTTCTCTTGGTGGTTAAGCCCTGTGTGACCCATCTTGTATGGAACATGGGGAAGTCCTGTGGCTTTGGCCAGGCCTGCTCGTGGGGCTGCTGGGAGTGGTGCGTCAAGCCTGGCTCACTGTCTCTGATCCCTGATTCCAAGCCAGCCTCTGGGCTTCAGACTTCTCCAGCTTTCTTTCCCCCAAGTTTGGGTCTCCTTGCCTGAGGCTTATGCCTCCTGTTGGCATGAGTCCAGAGGCCCGGAGGTGTGGGCTTGCCACTTCCAGGGCTTCTGACACTTTGGGGTGGTGGCAGTAGAGGAGCAGGCTGGGAGTCAGCACACCACAAG